AGTAAGCGCATTAACACTCCCCTGCCAACACCACAGCAGGGTTTTCCCCCGCGACGGCCGCAGCTTCCCAAGGCAGCCACAGGGATTTGCACCAGTAACAAGTTCCTTAAGGAAGCGACCCCCCTGCAAAGAGCCACATCCCAGCAGCCAAACCCCCAACCCCGTGGCCATGACCTCTGCTATCGTGAAACTCATCCCCGGCAGCAACCAGGAGCAGGAGGGCTGGGCCAGGGGTGCGTGTGCAGCAAAAGCTGATGCTCACATTCTGTCAGGAGCCCACGCAGGTCTTGGTTTATAAACAGCCCTTTCATTTGGGTGAAGAAGGTAAAGGCATCCCCAGGCAGTACAAGGAAGGCGGTTTCATCACAATGCTGCTGGAAGGAGGAGCTGGTGTCAGGGATAACCGGTGCCTCTGGGTCACCCACTGCTCCTGCAGCGTTTTCCCCTGCTTTGCCAGCAAATTGGCACAAAATTAGGGTTTGTTCTGTGGGCACGACTGGGCTGGGCACAGGCACGTCTGCATCCAGCTGTGGGGCCGGGGCCAGCTCGGCTCCTGGGGGAGACTGTCACTGACTTCATCCCCCCGTAGCCCCTGTCCCCGCAGGGCCACGGGCCAGGGGAGAAGCAAGTGGAGAGCAAACACTGCCTTCCTGCCTGCCGCACGCTTTTGGCACTGTGTGTGTTTTAAAGCATCTCCTGGGCTTTTTTTCCCTCCAAATCATTGCCCGCAGAGATGCAGATTTACTCTACTTACCCCCTCACCTGCCCGGGTTTATGAGCTGCAGCCAGTCAAATGAGCTGGAAAGGGTAAAGTCTGTTACTGCACTGTAATAAAACCATGAATAACTTTAAAATGATTACTGATTGGTTTTATACAAGCATTGACACAAACCCATCAAATAATCCAGCCACATCTATTTGAGCTGGCAGCTCCTGCACCGGGAGCAGCTCTGCCTAGCAGTGGCAGCAGAGGGATTTTATGCCTGAGGACTTTGACCCCATTCTGGGCACAACCCCAGGCAGGATTTTCTTCCCAGCACCATGCCCGTGTAGGGGCAGCCTGGAAACCCTCGTGTTTCCAAACCAGTGGTTCCAGCGTGTGCAAAGGCTGTGCCAGCCCCGCGGTGCCTCCCGTGCCATGAGTGGGAACTTCCTAGCACTGAAGAACTGAACCCCAGCCACAGTTTTTTGAAGCAAAATAGGAACTGAGCTGAAATACAACTGTGGGAGCAGGATATCCCCGGGCTTTGGAAACCAGCAGCGAGCACGAACTGGCCAAGAGCTTCTGCTGGCTCTTGTTCTTGGGGTGAAAGTGCTGGGAAAAGGCATTTGCAGAGGGGAAGCTGCCTCCTGCGATGTCATGCTCTGGGTAAAGGCCTTGCCAGGAGATGGGGTGCTGTTGGAGCCCCCACACCTTCAGTGAAGGTCTGTGCAGCCCCCAAATCGCGTGGGATTAACACATGAGTGGGACGTCCAGGCCTGCAACACGGCAGCTCGAACAGAACAGGGCAGTCAGAGATGCCAGGCTCAGCCCCCACCCTGAGCACCCTCCCGAGCCTCGCTGCTGGCAAGTGTTTGCCAAGAGCTGGCCAGGATCCACCCTGGTGGCATCAAGCTCCGCTCCAGCCCACAGAGCGGGTCTGCCACAGCCCAGCTCCCTGACACCACACTTTTACCGAGGGAGTTAAAAGCCAGAGAGGATGAAAAATTTAAAAATCATTATTTAAGTGTTGGCGAGATCCTGCTGCTCTGCTCCAGCGTTAATGGGGATGCTGCGAGCTGAGCACAGCTGGGCACAGGGAGCCCCGCTGATCCAGGGGGGTCCCAGTGGCTCTTGGTGCATGCTGGCAGCAAGGGACACCCATGGGAGAGCCACAGACAGGGCACCCAGAGCAGGTTTTGGGGGGCCCAGCAGGAAAGTGCTGGGACATGGGGGCTGAGCGGTGCCAGCGGGGACATCCCGCAGCTTGGGGACAGGGACACGCACAGCCTAGCGCATTGCCCAGCCACCCAGACACAGCTCTGTGCAGATGTGCACACCCACATCCATCCTCCAGATGTGCACCCCACCCCAGCCATGTGTGCCCGCCCCAGATGTGCACATCCATCCTCCAGATATGCGCATCTGCCCCAGCCATGCATGCCCCCCAGATGTGCACACAGACCCGAAATGCCCCCAGCAATCCAGATGTGCACACCGGCCCCAGTGCACAGCCACCCCAGCTGTCCACCCCCCCAGCTGTGTACACCCACCCCTGCAGATGTTCCCACTCACCTTCTGGGCTTGCACTCCCCAGATACACCCTTGCATCCCCCTTGCAGACGTGACCCCCCCCAGCCCGGGCCCTGCCCAGGGACAGCTGGTGCCCTCCACACGTGGGAGCGGAGCCGTGGCTGTTCTGTGTGTGCCAGAGCCCTCCCCCCCCAGCTGCTCCCCCCTGCCCTTGCCAGCACTGCACACTCTGGTTTAATCACTCCCTGGTTTTGATTTGCCTTCAAACTGGGCAGCAGGAGGGTAAAGGTGCCTTTTCCCGGCTGGCTGTACCCCAGAACATGGTCTGTGTTTGCAGACAAACATCCACCCTCATCAAAAACAAAAAAAAAATGACTCAGTGGGAGCTGCGGGGCCCAACGTCACGCCCGGAGCTCTCTGTTACACCCTACCGGCCTGGGTAAAGCCATGACCAGCTGCCCAGCCCTCTGGCACCCCCAGCCCTGGAAGCTGCAGGCCAAGCCCCACTTCTAGGCTGAGCCCAACTTTCAGGCCAGCTCAGAGCACCCGGGGCAGGCAGAGTCCAACCCTAGCAAGGCTGTACAGGGGCTGCGCTCCCGCCGCCCTGCTCTGCCCAGACCTGATGGCCGCATACTCCGAGCAACTATTGCTTCCGCTTTTTGATAATTTTTTCAAATTAACTGGAAAATCCAGGCACACTTTCCCAAAATTTTTGTTGAGGGGAGAAGAAGAGCTCCCTACACCCCAGATGCATCCAAGCCCACGGCCAGTGGGAGCTGGGGGTCGGGCTTGGCCCACAGTTGCCCCCAGAGCCAGGAGCCAGCCTGGGCAGAGGCGAACCCCTGGGATCTCTTCCCCTTCCCCTGCCCAAAGCCAGGTCATGGCCCCATCGTCCCCCACCACCCCTGGGCGACAGGGCCAGCCCCCGTGCCAGATCTGGGGAGGGGTCACCGTGTCCCCTTGTCCTCACCACAGGGACCTCATCTGGGCAGCACCAGCTCATCCTCCCCCTCCTGGCAGAAGCCACCAGCCACAGGATTCCCCAAGCAGCCTCCAAACCCCATAGCATCGTGGGGGAGCCACTCACAGGAGGTGCAAAGAAAAAGCTGGTGAATCTTTAATTTAGCCCTAAGCCTGCACGTTTAATTACGCACGGTTAATTCTTTGCCGGGTTATTTACGCTCTACCGCAAGCGCCGCCTCTTCAGGGCCTTCCCCCAGTCCCCGCAGGGCCTGATCCTGCTGTGCCCAGCGCGGAGCTCAGCATGTGTGGGTGCCCACGGGGGCATGAGGGCACCCAGCCGCCACCTCTGCCAGCTCTGCAACAGCAGGGCCACGGCGCAAACACCACCACAGAACAATCGAGAAGGTTTCAACTGTGGAATAGGAATGCAGCGGTTTGTTCTGCTGGCCCGGGTTGTTTTTTTCTTCCCATAAAAGGGAGTTTGTTGCCCGTAAAGTCAGTTGTTGTGAGCTGGGGTGGTTCTAAATGAAGACCATGGGTTGTTCCAGACCGTGGGCTGGTGCGCAGCAACGCGGAGCCAAGCTGGTGATGTGCTCTGCTGGCAGAACTGCAAAATGTCCGAAGGTGACGCGGGGGCTGCAGCATCCCATGGACACCGGGGCCACAAAAACTTCACAGAAATCACTGTGAAGAGCAGGGCAGGGTGGGGAAAAGGCAGCGGCTGTCACAGCCCGCTTGGGCAACGGGCAGGGAAAGGCGGGGTGAGAGGGGCCAGGGGCTTTGCTATGGGATAGGTCGCTCAAGCACTCAAAAAAAAAAAAAAGTGACACTTTAGAAAATTTTCAATTCATAAAAACCCACAAAATTAGCATCAGCTCCTCATCAGGGTGTGAGCAGACAACCCCTCATTAACGCCTTTGAGACCACCCCCCTCTGTCCGCCTCTGCCACGAGATGCTGGGGGGTTGCAGCTGTGGGGAGGTTTGTCCTCAAGCCCAGGAGGTACCTGTGGAGCAGCTCTGACTTCACTCCAGCATTCCCTCCCCTCTGGCATCCCCGTGCCTGGAAAGCAATGGGGGGAACGCTAAGGTGGCCGAGCCTAGATGGAAAAAAAGGGGGACTCTGGCCAAAGTCACCAGCCCAGCCCAGCCCGGGGGGGTGTGTGTGTAGGGGGAAGTGGGACCCTCTGCCCCCTTGGCCCCCACATGCAGCCAGCCCTAGCTGCTGACACAGCCCAGCTCATGCAACACATTTCTGGCTCCGACCCATCTTAATTAATATTTTTAATTACAAAATGAAGATGCTGACACGTTCTGCTTACAGGGTGTGCAAGATGGGGGAAGGTGCCAGTGCTGACCCTGCTGTTAAGTGTTCGGCAGCCAGGACACGGCGGGGAGGGAAGTGGGTGCCGAGGAGGAGCCAAACACTCCATGGGGAAAAATCACCCGGAAAGTTCTTCCTCACACCCTCCTCCTCTTCACTTCCCCGGAGCTTCAGGTGCAGCTGGATGTGGCCCCACTCCACCCCAGCCCATTACAGGCAGCAAGACTCAGTATTAATATTTAATTCTCTCTCTTTAGCATCTCAGCCCCGGGTTAAGCACCCAGCAGCTGTCCCCGGGCAGAAGGAAATGGCATTTACCACCAGCTGCTTCTGCTGACATTTGATTGTTCAAACAAGGCCCAGAGAAAACAAAAAGCTACAGTGGAAGATCAGAGCATTTAATAAGATCCAGTCAAGTCCCGCGAGTGCTTGGGATAAAGACGGGATTTCACTAAAAAGGCTTCTTTATCATCAAATTAATGGGTTAGTATTCCCCACCCAAGCGATGCCATGTGGATTTTCTTTTTTTCCCTGTCCCAGCCATGGGCTTTGCAGAATTAAGTCTTTTTAGATGCTTCCTGCACACAAGCAGCTGACAGTGCCACTCAGTGCCTGCACAAGCCTTTCCCTGAGCATCCTCAAAGCCTCTTTCCACTCCCAGAAAGGTTGGGCCAAGGTTTCATTTGCAAACAGGCACCTGGGCCTGGGAAAGGTGTCTGTGCAGCGTTTGTGTCTCCCAGTGTAGGTGAAGAAGCTGCTGCCACCTCTGTGGTTCAGGGAAGCCACTCCGTGCTCTCCTGTTTCCTCCTCGGGATGAGAGAAAGCCATGGAACTACAATGATGAGACAAGCAGCCTGGGCTTACAAATGGGTAAAACTTCTTTTAGAGCAGCAGGCAGAGGGGCTCCAGGAGGCACACGAGGCAAGGGAGGGAGCCGCAGCAGGATGGTGCAGAAGGCAGGCTGTATGTGGAGCATTTTCCCACTAGAAAATACTATTCATTTAGACTAATCTAGAAAAATAACCAAAAAACCCTGATAGACACACCTCACCTTCACCCCCACCAAGAGCATGACCTGGTACCAGCATCTGCACACACCGAAGGCAAGAGCAGAACCTCAAGTGCTGGAAGTGAGGCCAACACTCATGTTTCTTCCCAAGCTCAGCACCAAAAGCCTGACCCGGCTGCAATTCACCGTGAAATATTTGACGCTGTTGCCTCAGGGACAGCAGCAGCAAGCCCCTGGCACCCAGTTGTCTGTGGCCACCCAAGTCTGTTGAGAAATAAAATGCCATTGGCACACTCAACAGCACGAGGGTCCACGAAGAGCCTTGGCAATGCCTCGAAAGGAGCAAGAACTCCTCTACGCCATGGGTGAGCAACAGCAGACGCACGGAAGGTCCTGGCAGGTGCAAACTCCTTCCCGAGCAAGGCAGGTCTGCATGCTTGGTTTCTCCAATATGGGAAACACGTGACTACCTGAAAGGAGGGTGCAGAGAGGGGGGGGATGAACCAAAGGTCTCTTGACCCAATGAACAAGTGACAGGACAAGAGGGAATGGCCTCAAGCTGCGCCAGGGCAGGGTCAGGCTGGCTCTTAGGAAGCATTTCTTTCCAGAAGGGGTTGTTGGGCGTTGGAATGGGCTGCCCAGGGCAGGGGGGGAGTCCCCATCCCCGGAGGGGTTGAAGAGTCGGGTTGACCCAGCGCTGAGGGATCTGGTGGAGTTGGCAATGGTCAGTGTGAGGTTCATGGTTGGACTGGACAATCTTAAAGGGCTTTTCCAATGGAGATGATTCTGGGATTCTGAGAGCAGGAACCCTCTGCTCATTAGTGGTTATTAGTGCTCTGGCCTGTTCATCTTCAGTCCAACCCCTCAGCAAGTTGCCGGGAGATACAAATTTCACAAGATGAGCTCTTAAAATATTTGCTGTCCTCAAGGTTGGAGCTGGTGAGCTCCTGGATGTCTTTCAACATTTGCACTTCGCTGTTGCAAAACTCCACCTTGTTGAATAGGCTGGAACGCCAAGTGCTTGGCATTTAAATAGCTCCTGCTGTTTTTGGAAGAGATTAGTAAAGTATAGAAGCAGCTATTTAACATTCAGGAAGCACAACACATACATGGGAGTTATCAGTCACTCCAGGCAGATGGTTAATGTATCTCCTTTCACCACAAACTGAGCAGCAAACATTCAAACTCATCACCAAGACAACATATTTAAATCCACTTCTATTTTCAATTCATACGTTTTTAACAAACTGCTAAGTAATGAAAAATCAATATTTTCACCCAAGCAGGTGGGAGATGGTCCTGAAGCTCTGCCCAGCTGCAGAAGACGTGCTCTTGGCATTTCAGGAATGCAAAATTATTTATGACTAAGTCAAACGTGGCATCCTGGGTGCAGGTCACATTTATGGCCAAGGAGGCACTGACTTCCCGGTGATCAGCTCCGATTTACCAGCACTTCCACCAAGGTGGGAACCACCACTTCAGGCATGGAGTGATTTCAGTCCCAATTTAGGGGGAGAATTTTGATGGGACTTGCATCTTTTTAGCTGAAAACAGGACTTAAGAGAGTGAAGCGCTTCTTGCACGTCACAGGCAACCTCATCTGACCACCCGTCGTCTCCGTTAAGATAATTTTTAGTGACAATCAGTTAAAATTGTTATTTAACAGAAATCACTCAAAACATGATGCATTTAGCAGAAATAACTCAACCAGCAACATACTGCATGAACTTGACTTGAGCAGAAAGAGAATATAGATCTGCGGTCCTTACCTCAAATCAGCAAACTCTTAACTGCCGGAAAAAAGAAAAAAATGTTTTCCATCTTACTTAGAATAAAACTCTTCCTGAATACACTAAAAGGAGACATCTCAAAACCTCTACGATGATGCTCATCAGGGCTCACCTGTAACCGTACGTAGGGCAGAAGGTACCGAATGGAATAAAATATCCCACGTTTGTCTTAAGATAAAAAAATTTATTTTACAGTCTTATAAAGCAGCTTTACATTAAGCACAAACGTTGATCCATTTACTTTGTATATAAACATAGTAGAACCTTTCCCATTGCAAAAAGTCATGTCTTGCTGTATATAAAACTAACATGTGCACATTGTGCTTAAACTGCAAAGTCTGTACAGCTTTACAAAGGACTACCCTTTACAAGAGCATCCTGTAAACAATTTATTGCATATTTAACACATGGTGTCTATCCCACATGTAGAAAAAAAAAATGTAGAAAAAATAAAGTACAATTACAAGGTGAATGAAAATAGCAGCTTTCAGTGAATGTCTTGCACAATGGCCGAGAGAAACAGCGCTGCCACACTTGACAGTTGTGCTTGTGTGTCACCGGTTTGCATACACCCATGCACACTATGCTTCTGATGAAGTCTATGTACAGTAAACTCCATGGAAAAATGAAACAGGTCTTAGTCCCTAAGACCTTTGTCAGTTTGAAGACTGAAAACAAACAAACAACCCCCAACTTAAAGTGAATTCGATGAAGTTATGGGCACCGATGTCCACTAATCCTTTTCCACTGCACAACTCAATCAAAAAAGAGTAACAGGAGAAACGCCACCCTCGCTCCCTTCAGTTCTACCACCCCTGACGGCAGCTGGTTTAAGTTACACATGTGCTAAGGCCAACGAAAACGTGATGGAGATGTTAAGGATAATGTTGGTCTGACAGGACCGACGGCCTTGACACGGCCACCCTACGATTCTGAGCTCACCTATTCAAGAGCTGCCGGGCTGAGTCTCACAAAGCATGGAAAGATCAGCACCAGTGCAATTTTTCAGCTGGAATTAAGAAAAAATAAAAAAAAAGAAAAAATTGTGGCCTCTGTAAGGCACCAATACCATCTCTTCTTGAGCAGTAGACCCAAAGAGTCTCTCTAGATTCTCCAAATCCAAAATGGGCTAAAGATGGAGGAAGCATGCAGGAGAAAGATGTTTCTGTGTTTGCAGTAAGGAACAATCATTTGTAAAGGAAGCACATTTTTCTGGGTTGTGTGTGGGCGTGCGCACGCGTGTGTGTATACGCATGTATGTAAAAAAAAAAATTCACCTCTGCTACCTTTGGTATTGAAATTTCTCCTGTGACATTCACTTCTCTTATTGATATGATCATAGCATGCGTTCGCAAAGATCAAGTAATTAAAAAGTTTTTTCAAACATCTGCAAGAAAAAGCATTAAAAAATAAAGAAAAAAAATCAAGATGCATATTGACCTTGTGCCCAGCCTTTTTGTGATTTGAATGAACTCTGTCCTCAGTATGAACATCTTAAGTTTAACTCCCACCGACATGTACAACATGTAACAGGATCAGTGGAAAAACCCCAAAGCTGACATACGTCCTTCCCCTGCCAGGAGCTTTCAAGCCCAAGACCCTTCCAGCAAACACCCACACCCCCCAACATTGCTGATAACCCGGTATTTGCTACGCTACCAAACAAAACATCCCTGATCTAACGGTGCCATCGGCTGGGTTTACTCTTCTGGATCAACCAGGAGGCTACATGCCGAGGAGGCGGAGGAACGTTGGGTGTAAAGGACGGATAAATAGGAAAACGAAAACAACTGGTCTCTTCTGCATTACAACAGTCTGGTGAAAGCATTTGGGTTCACACACATGTGTTTGGTTATTGCACGGGTTCCCCTGCTCGCCTGGCAGAGCCACGAAGACAAAGCACACCCAAGAAGCCAGCGCTGGAGATGTAACAACCCCTTTCACAATGAATAAGACAGCAGGCAGAGGTGAAACTTGGTATTAAAGCACAGGTGGAGCTGGAAAGCCTTCTGGGGTAATTTTAATTTTTAAAATGCTTGATATACTCGAGCAGGTTAAAAATTAAAATCACCATAGGAAAACCTTAATTAATTCCAATTGAATTTCCTGCGCGCTACTCAAAATGAACTCCACGTCACACTCAGGAATTCAAGACAAGTCTCCCAAAGCATAAACTTGCCAAAGCACAGCGAATGTAATTAAAAAATACCATTCAAAAATATCAGGCTCCACGATAAGAGACTCCAGCTACCAGGGAGGAGGCGACACCAGCAAACCTGACGGGCGATGGTAAATTTGGCTTTATAAAAGGGGGGTGGGCGTGGTTGCAGGTCTTGTGCGAGCCCCACTGAGTTGTGCTTACGTGACGCGACTGCGAAGCTCGCACGCTGTCCGCGTGTCTTCCGTCCACGTGTCTGTAAAGAAACCATACAGCTAAAGGAGCTCTGTATAGAGAATTAGGGGGGGGAAAAAAAAAAAAAAAAAAAAAAAAGAGTGTATTTTTCACCCCCAAAAAAGGATCTGTCTTAAAAAAAGAAAAAAAAAAAACCAAAAACACCTTTAAAAAGATACACTGTCCACTACCCAGGCTACAAGTAAATACACATTTACGGCATTACACCACATGATCTGTTACGCTGTTCCAACATATACACATATAACTCCATTTTAAAAGAGGCCACAGACTAACTTTTTAGGCAAGTGCTGGACTTTAGAGACCTGTATGGCTTCTGCAAATATTTCCCTACAAAAAGGAAAAAAAACAACCTAAAACCAAGAAACCCCAAAAAATGTCCCCGAACTCAGGAGCAGAAAGGGTTTTTTTTTTCATGCAGATAGTTTTGCTGTGGAGCACTAAGGACAGGTGAAGTTCCCAAATCCTACCCATCAGACCCAAATGTTTCCACGCTGGAATGCAATGATTTCAGGAGACTAGTTTTAAGGATCACTTCTTTGAAACGGTCCATAAAAAAAAATTTAGGATACGACCTTTTGAAAGCATACCTCTGCGAGGCGGCAGGAGCGAGGGGTTTGGTTGGAAGCTCTAGTTGTGCTTTGCCCGGCCGCCTCGCAGGTAGCTCTTCCACCTCTTGACAAACTCTTTGAAGATGGGTGACTCGTCTATGGTGCTGAGGAGCTGGAGCTGGTTGATGTGGGTGGTGTGATAGTCCCAGCGGGCCAGGTTGGGAGCGGTGCCGAGCATGAAGTGCCGAAGGTCATAGATGGTCCCTGAGCCGGTGTCGTAGAGGGGGAGCATGGCCTTCAGGGACTCCATGCCCCGCTCATAGAGGACCCGCGCCTCCTTTCCCAGCTTCTCCCCAGCTGTTTCTTTTAAGTCATACAGCCCAATTAAGGAGTACATGAAACCGTTGAGCACGAAGGAGCTGGGCGAGGTGGGGTACTCCTCGTACCAGTCGTGCCGGTTCATGAAGACTGCCTTCACCCCGCGCTGCTCCGAGGGCAGCTTGTAGGGTGCCGTCGCCCGCAGAGCTGAGCTGAGGAACGCGTGGTCCTTCGTCAGCAGGTACGCTCGCACCAGCGTTGAGATGGCCTGTCCTTGTGCCATGGCCGAGTACCAGCCTGGGTCCAAGGACTTGAAACCTTCCCCTAATTTCCTCGTCACCATGATGGGCCAGCCCCCTCTCTCGTCCTGGTTCCTCACCAGCCAGTTGCTGGCAGCAAAAAAAGCCGCCATGTGAGCAGTGGCTGAGATGGTGATGTTATCGAGGAAGCCTCTTCCCTTTGCTACCAGCCTCACCACTCTCTTGGGCATGATTTTGGTTTGCTTCACAGCTTTTGTGTTCGAGAGGCCGACGCCTTTCCGCAGGTCGGTGACCAGGTCTCTGGTGAGGGTGCTCCAGCCAGTCCTGGGACCGATGCCGTAGTAGATGTCTCGGTCCTTAAAAGCAATGAGCTGCGTGTTGGAGATGTAGTGCACGGTGAAAAGCTGGTTCTTCTCCGTCGTCTCGAGAACCACAGAAATGCTCCCATTCGTTATGAATTTGAGATCGAAAGAAATAATAAAATCTCGCGTGTTCCCAAGCTGCAGAGATACCCCCTCGGTATTTTCTGCAAAACAAACCAAAAAAGGCTCCGTTCAATGGTAAAGCACTCATTTCTCTGAAGCACTCAAGCTACAGAGCACAGCTTCCAGAGGTAAACCCTCTTACCAGGCAGGATCCAGAAGCTCTTAGGGCAGCCCATCAATAATTCAATCACTCTTTCCGCACACAATCATATATTATTTAATTAAGCATAAAAGTAAATCCATGAGTGAAGACCAACTCCCGCCACACCAGGGAGAACTCGCTGGCATCTTACATGAAGGCGCTGCAGCACTTTGCTGTGGAGCAGAAGTGCCAGGGCCTCGATCGATGGCTTTATCAGATGCTTCTGGTACCTGGTCGATGGAGGAGCGCAACAGACACCACAGCCAACAACCAACCAACCAACCTCTTGTTCCAAACTGAAAACTGCACTTGGCAGAAAAAGACACCGAAAACACAGCGCCACTCGAGCAGTGCATTTCTGAATAAAGCTCTGCTTTCAGCAGGAAAAAGCCAGGAGTGCCGAGAAACAGGTATTTAGGATCCCCCTGCGACTACTATTTAAATCTGCCACTTTTTTCATTCCCATCCTGACTGTTCCAAAAACCAGTATGCTGATTAGTTTAGTGGGGGGGGAAAAAAAGGATATAGCAAGACTAACGTGTTAAAAGTATTTATTAACCGTTCCATAAGCAAACCTCAGTTTAATTAAAAAAAATTTTAAATAAAGCTCCTAGGCAATGTCACATAATAAAATCCAGGCTAAATTTTTAAATGTAAAATCCACTTCTCCTCAAAAAAGCCTATACTAGAAGATCAAAGGGGTAATTAATTTGTAAGGTTGTGTGCAAATCCTGTAGTTTTGAAGGCACAGAGGGATGATAAACACAAAGACAGGCATCTGAAAGGGCTTTCCACAGGATGAAATTCTCTCACTTGAGGCATTTGTTTCCTTTCTGCTGCTTCTGGGTGTGTGAAATACCCCATCAACACTTCTCTATGCAAGAACCGAGTTCGAGTCAGTTTTTGCTGCCCAGCAGAGGCTTTTCCTCATCCCCCAAACTGATCTGTGGCATTTTGCAACGTCTTGTGCTGTAAGGTGCCATTGTCACTTTACAGTACCATTATTTTGACTGAATCACGTTTTCCAGTCTTTTAAAGTAAAAGCTTCACTCCTTTGAGTTTTGGAGATCAGCATCTGCTTCAGGAGAAGAAACCAAGCCCCTTGTTACACAACATTTTGTTCCTATGAAAAAAATCTAATTAAAAAACCCCACTCGCAATTCCTGTCAAGTAAGTTTTATGGTTCCTCATAAATAAACGCCTGTGTGATAACGGAGTGAACTGTAGTAGAGGAGGGGAGAGAAAAAAAAGTTTCAAGAAGCGAAGAACTAAAGGCTGCCCGTTGTTGGCACAGCTTTAAGCGCCTGTAAATCCATTACTTAAGGCCATCTCAGTCCAGTGGATGCATACCACAGCCTTCAAGCCCCGCAGATTACTCTGCTGTCAATAAAGGATGAGGAGAGAATACCTAACAGATCTTTTAGCCTTTCCCCTCCCTGTATTTATCTACTACAAAGACACAAGAATGTTCGACAATTTTTTTCCCCAGAGACCCAGGCCTAAGGTGCCAACTGAAAATTACTTCATTGTCTTTTTAAGTAATGGACTCATTAATTCTAATGGGTATTGATTGAGGAAAAATACATTACGTCCTTATTAATGAGCCTGTCCTAGCACAAAGGAAACTCCTGCATGAAATAATGAATTTCCCTGCTAAGTACAAAACAGAACATGGTAAATGGAAGAGACTGCAACAAAATGCATCTTGCACATCTGCAGATGAAGGTGAGCGCCTGTACACAGCCCCAGACCTTCACCGTCCTCCCCAGCCCTCTGCAAATACCTGTGCAGCTGCTTCCTCTTCTCCCTCTTGTTGCCTCGGACAAGGCAATGTGAGTTAGCCAGAACTAAGATCCCCAAATTTTGCAAAAATACTTGCAGCCCAGTGAAAAGAGAGCGCCCAGGTCCAAGCGCAGAGCTGCACATGCTACGCTTGCTCCAGGCTGAAAATAGACTTTATCTATCATCTGTCAACATCTGCTTATCACACGTCAGCGCCATTTCCCAGGCTTCAAAAATGGTTCCATCCTTTTTTTGTTGTTTTTTTTTTTTTTTTCTCTTCTTCTATTTCGAGACAGAAGCTGAAAGGCTCAGGAAACGTGACTGCAGCTTCTCATTGCCCTCCATGTATACATTTTTTCATTAAAATAATGTTGAAAAAACATGGAGAGAAAACAGGAGAAAAATATCCAGAGGTAGAGAAATGAGTTGACATTCTCAGGTGAGGTCTTAAGAATGGGAAGTCATGCAGGGTAAATGAAAACACATGAATCTTGGCTTATATCAGCAATAGCATAGAGAGCATGGACAGGGAAGGGATCTCACCCCTGTACTCGGCACTGGTGAGGCCGCACCTCGATTCCTGGGTTCAGTTTTGGGCCCCTCACTACAAAAAGGACATTGAATGACTCGAGCGTGTCTAGAGAAGGGCAACGGAGCTGGTGCAGGGTCTGAGCACAGGTCTGATGGGGAGTGGCTGAGGGAACTGGGGGGGTTTAGTCTGGAGAAGAGGAGGCTGAGGGGAGACCTCATCGCCCTCTACAGCATCCTGAAAGGAGGGTGCAGAAAGGGGGGATGAGTCTCTTGACCCAAGGAACAAGCGACAGGACAAGAGGGAATGGCCTCAAGCTGTGTCAGGGCAGGGTCAGACTGGCTCTTAGGAAGTATTTCTTTGCAGAAGGGGTTGTTGGGCGTTGGAATGGGCTGCCCAGGGCAGGGGGGGAGTCCCTGTCCCTGAAGGAGTTTAAAAGTCACGTTGACCCAGCACTGAGGGATCTGGTGGAGTTGAGAACGGTCAGTGTGAGGGTCATGGTTGGACCAGATGATCTTCAAGGTCTTTTCCAAACGAGAGATGCTGTGATTCTGTGAATCCCAGCAAGTTCAAGCTCCCCAATACCATCTGTGCCCACTAATGGACATGGCCTAGCTGCCACGCATTTAGGATAACCCACCTGGAGCAACAAACTGTTTGACGCTCGTGAACTTGGCTTTATCAGAGACTGTGGACAGAGAGCAGCCTTTGGGCACTGTCCAGTCCGTGGACCTGCTGGTTTTGTCCTTCTCTTCGGCCGTTTCATACACCTCGATATGGGGGGGTTTCTCCGTCAGGTTTTTACTGTAGTGACTCAACCCATACTGTGCGATCTGGATGGGGTAGAAATAGCCTTGAGGTCCCCACTGCGTGGACAATGGCACACCTATGGGAGGGGAAGAAAAGGAGTATTTTAACTGGTACATTTTCAAAAAACAAGCAGTTTCAGCCCTGCATGTTCCTCCTCCTCCTTACCCCATCACTCCTTCACTTCTAGCAAATGGCATTTCTAGGCTCCAACAATAGCTAGACTCGAGGAAAATCCTGCTACAGGACTGAATTGATCCCATTGAAATGGAGATCTGTCACTAGTCAAAACCAAGCAGATTTGAGTGGCAGAAGTCCTTATCATGGTCTTCCATGCTAATTGTTTACTGAAGCATCATACTTATTTTAAAATAATACATTTAAAATGCCCTAACAGATTTCTTCCCCCTACCCCAGAGACCACTAAATCTCCAACCAATGTTACATCTAACACAATCCCTTTAACGCCACATAAATCTTTGCAAATTCAGCGTATATATTATTACTAGATTTTGGGAAGAGTTATTTGATGCTAAAAGAGCAATTTACCCAGCATCTACAAATCTGCTCCAATTACCTTGGCTCCCCTAAGAGCATTACAAGCGCAGCCTGAAGGGATGCCCGGGGAAGACAGCCAAGCTCTCCATGCAGTGCCAGCAGAATACACCCCAGTTCTTCCACCCAAAGCTGTCCCTTGTCCTCAGAGCTACTGCTCCAGCCCGGCCCTGGGATTAACCCTCCACATATGACCCGCTGTCCCAAAAGCCGGTAGCCTTGCAGGAGAGCACAGTTCTCACTCTTAATTTAGGGTTAGAGTGATTTTAGATTGAAAAGTCTGCATGAGTCAGAAGAACCTCCTGGAGCACGAGCTCTTTAGAGGATTCAAAGCAGAAAAACCACGGAGTGCATCTTCTGTAGCCTGCCGCATTAAATTTCACATGCAAAACCCATCGAATGAGCTAAGACAACATCATGTAGCCATGCTGGATAAAATATTTCCACCCAGATAACACACTGCCGTGCCCCGGCCTCCCCTCTGCTTGCCCTTCACCAGCTCCCAGGAGCTGCAGCCTCAGGGTTTGGGTGGAAAAACCCTCATGCCAAAAACTGCCTATTGCATCACTGGTTGGGGGGAAATGAGAACAAACTGGGTGGAGGAGTTTTATTTCTACGCATATCTCCAGAGGCAAGCAAGCACTGGATACTTCAGATAGGGATAAACCCAGAATTCTCATGAAGTCCTGAATTTTACTTGGGAAAAATTCCCACACCCTTTAAATATGAATCCAAAGTGGGAATTGACCACTAGGACCCTCTTGCAGGAAACCAGGGATATTTAGCACTGCAAACCTTTGCATGCGCATAAGAAAAAAGATGAAAACAAACAAGTTGGCATTTGCACCATTTTCCCCCTTGGCAACATCAAGCTCAGAAACCAATTTCTTCTGAAATCTGGTATAATGAAAAGATTACTTAAACTAAACATAAAAAGATACATTTTCATACATATTTTGATGCTTTGTGTTACTAATAAATATTGCCAATGAAGATGTGATGGATTACTGCTGCCTAAAGAGAAAACCATCATGGGAGATATTTAAATACCATGTATTATCTCACTCACGGAAGCCAGCTCGCTCATTAACGCTAAGCATTTTCAGTTAAGGGTGCATTCACTGAGACTGAAAGATGCAAAAAAAGAAATCTGCTATAAGAGCTTTACTTGAAATTTATACAACTTGACAAGATTAAATTCTCCAGGTCATAGGACATAACAACACATTAACCTTGCAGAAAGGGAGAAGGTGAAAATATAACACGATTTTTTTTCCATCATGCAATATGAGAATCTCTAGGGCTGGAATGATGCAAGGCAAGAGCCTAAAGCTGTCTGAGAACATGTTTTAATATTAAAACCCCTTCCCTACAAACTACAACTATTTCTCTTCTCCGACCTGTTTGCTGGATGCCAATAATTCTATTGCCTTTACAAAACCCAGGCCCTGGCACCACATTTCATAGTGACAGCTCCTAAATCACATGCTGCAAAACAAGCAAGGTTTATAGAAAAATAACCACATTGTCGAGCATTAAACTTGCTGCTCTCTCAAGGCTTAAGTCATGAGCAGCTACACACAGCACCCTGTGTTCCCAGCACACACATCTGGCAAGGCAAGAGGCTGCAGAATCTGTCCTGGGTCTCAGACAGATCTTACTGAATTTCAGCTTTTTGCTGAAGAACCTCACAAGAACTGTGGAGTCCAGTTGCAAGGGCATCTTGCACATCTTCCACATTTCACACAAAAACTGGTGGGGCTCCAAGACCCAGGTCCGAGCCCCCACCCCAACAACAAAACCAGCACTCACAGCTATTACTCATATTCACAAGCTGCATTTAATCAGCAACAACTGTACCAAAGAGAAAGGAAAGGCATCTCCTCATTCCCCCACAGTGGGTGTAAACCCTGAGCAGGACAACACTCACATGTAGTCATGTGTAGCTACCAGGATGCATTTGCACCCTGGGGAAAGCTCTGAGTTTCAGAGCCCTGTTTCGCTTCCTCAGCGGATGGAACAAGAATGAGAGTTTAAAAACAAATAATAAAAATGTGAGAGTAACCTTAAAAACCAAAACCAACTAACATATCCTATACATTTGTCTATGTGACTCCTTTACAGACAAATTAACTGCAAGACAGGCCAGCTTTCTGCAGTGACCATATCATAGGAAGAGCTCATATCGACACAGCAGAGCATCACTGAGCTGCATGAAAATTAATGTATTTTATTCCTTAAGTGAAAACTGGTCTTTAATTTATGAGAGGTCACAGTGTCACATTCCATAACAGTTTTATAAAGTCATTAATTTTTTAATATGAAGCTCAACAAGAATTTTCTGAGATCAAATCTTTGCCGAGACGCTGGAAGACCTTGCGTACTAATTACTGATTGCATGGTTTAGCAAAAGTGCAAATTGGAAAGGTTTTACCGTGTATTAATTTTACCCAGGGACACTTCAGTGGCTGGAGAGCTTTTGACCACCCTCCAGCAGTTCTCCAAAACCTCCTCACCCTGCTGCTGGTGGAAGGACCTTTCACAGGACGAGGCAAGGTGATGTCCTGCCTGCCGTGGGCACAGCGACGCCAATTTACCCAGACTCATGTGCAGGACGAGCTTTAGCAAGAGCTAATGCCACTCAAGAACTTAAATTCTCCCTGCTTGTTCTGGAGCAGCCCAGCAGAGAGGGTCTGACTCTTGTGTCTTCAGCACCACAAGGAGACGGGGTATTGTTAAACCTGAAGACAAATATCCGATATTTAAGCCACCCATGAGTGGCCAGGCTGTTCCACAGGTGCTGGCAGTGCCATCTGGCTCAGAGCATGGGGCTGTATCTGTGCCCGTAGGGAAGAAGGAGCCTTCTCAGACAGCAGGGCCAGGCTCCTTTTAATTTAATTTTATATTTTAAAATAATTTTAGCTTCCCGACAGAGATGACAAGCGTCAACAGCAATGCCAAAACCTGACAGCAGCACTGTAAGAGAAGTGTCCTGGCACCTCCGAAGTCTGTTGTAACTAGTAAAACCAGAGATGCAGGATGGGAGCAGGTAAACCTGGTACAAAGCAGAAACTGTGCTTGATTTCCCAAAGTAAGTGGGTTTTATCAACACTATTACAACAAAATTAAGATCAGTTTGCATCTCAAACGATAGCACCCACTTTTAAGAAGCATTTCAACTATTAAAAATAAAATACTCAACACAAACCTTCAACACCACTTATGCACTTCACTCTGTCTCGAACCTCTACGTTGTAGCCCTCGAAGGACATGAAGACCCCGTCGGGGTGGTAAGGTGCTCGCTGTGTGTATACTTTGGAGTAGCTATGAGAGAATTCAAACCTGTCATAACCATCGTACTGAGCAATTTTCCCATAAACCTCAAAGTATTTCTCTACCCAGCTGAATGGCAGGAAGACCTCGTTGCCTTCCCTCCTCCCTTTAACGGTGTGCTCGTCATTGATTAAACAGTCAATCTCCTCGTACTTCAGCCCCGGGGCTTTGTTGCTGTTAAAGCCTCCCGCGATGGGGGGAGCCTTCTGCTGCTCCTGGGGCGATGCCTCTTCGCTCTGCTGCCGGGCCAGGTCGCTCTCAGAGGCAGCGGCTCCTCGGCGTTCGGGGCCGGCGAGGCTGCGGGGGAACGGGCCGGCTCTGTCAGAGGAGCATCTGTTCCAGAGCAGCACCATCACCAGCGTGAAGAGGGCACAGATGATGATCAGAGTCTTGTAGTTGACCCGAGCTGCCAAGCAACGCATATTCACACCATACCTAAAAAAAAAAAAAAGAGAGAGGGGAGAGGATTTTAAGAAGTGGTGCATACAGGAGCTGGTGGTTCTGCTACTTGGGATCCCCAGAGGGGCTGGTTCAGCAGGAGCATTGTCATCTGCACGCTGCAATGGTGCTCGGTGCAACGGGGACAGGCGGGGACACCTAGAAGAAAATATGGCTTTTTCCAGCTCTCCCTGAGCAATGAGATCAAATGTACCGAGTCGTGATTCGCCTCCCCGCTGCGACAACAGATCATTGCACGGCCTCTAAATAAAACAGCTGATGTTAATGAGATGCTCGGCAGCCACCGGGAATCAGCGAACAAACTCTCACCGGCCTCAGCACACAAGGGGAAGACAAATCCTCAGCAGAATATAACCACCACCTACCCAGCACCGTGAAAAAGGGATTTCCAACAAAACAGCCCTATAATCAAAACCTGAAGCCTAGAGATAGTCACAGTTCACACAACTGAAATCACTGAGATACCTACCCAGAGAGGGATGGCTATTTTTGGCCTTTTTTGTTGTTGTTTTTTAAAGCACAGGCTGAGAAGAAACTCAGCACTCAAGGCTGGATCGATTCTTGATGTTCCTGCACCTCAAATGCACTTTTAAAACAATGGTATGCGTGAGGAGGAGCAAGCAGGCTGGTAACAGAGGACCTCACAGCCGGAGCCCCGGTGGGGACAGCGGAGCCACCAGAAGCAAAGGAGGGACTGGGAAAGGTCGGGCCTGCCCCTGGGGACAGGACCTCCACGGACACGCTCCAGGGCTCACGTGTCCTGGTCCCCCAGGAGAAGGCAGAAACTATGTAAACTCTCTCTCAGGATTTTATTTTTTCCTGCTCCGTGAAGCATGCTCCAACGCCACCATTACAGCCCCAACAAAGAGCAAGGCTGAGCAACACGAAAATAAATCCCCAAATTGAAGTGATTCAAGCACATTTGCTCAGAAGAGCCTACTTTTGCTGAGGAATGAAGTCCTTCAAACAAATGACATGTGCATTTTTCAAATGCGCAAGGATATTTAAGATACACTTCATAAAATCCTTATTAAAGCGAAGTTTAATTTCACCTCCCTAGTAAGCCGCAGCATCCGAGCTGCTGAGTTGAGTTTTAAAGCCGTTGCTTAATTGCAGCCCCATCTGACAGCCCCGGGGCCGCTCCGCTCCGCAGTGGAGCCAGGGGGGCTTGTGCAGCCCCGGGGGTGCTGGGGTGGCCCATGGTGACCTCAACAAGGTGCTGCAGATATTGCTGATATTCTGCTGGGAGGCAGGAGTTAACTACACAGCAATTAAAAGGAGTTTCACCTCAAGTTTCACCTCCCCTGTTTTAAATGGAAATAATCAATTACCTCTCACCAGTTTTATGTTGCCATACTGTAAGCACCATCTGGTCATTTAAAACTGGACTTTAAAAGATAAGTGTCTTATTTTCTGAAAGCCCAGTTTACTACAAGCTTTTAGAGAACATAAATTTATATATAATTGTATTTTTATGGAAATGCTAACAGAAGAATAAATCCAATTTTCCGCATCAGCAGATAATTTTTAGTGATGATGCTTTCAGGATGACCTCAACAAATACGCTCTGCTCTTTTTACACAAAGGGATAATTCACTTTTAAATATGGAACGACATCTCTGACACACTTCACCCCTACCTATAAAACTCAAAATTAATTAAGCCATCTGGATTACCAAGGGATGGGGAGAGAGGGAAGGGGAAACACCATCACCACACTTTTTACATCCCTATTACCCCACACCCATTACTCCATGGTTTTAAACAGGCGCCATAGCTTTGAAAAGGTCTTGGCTATGCCATTAGAAACAGATTTTATTTTATTTTGGTTCTGCTGCCATACACAGTAAAGAATTTGGAGCAGTGCAAAGCTTTTCCTGCGCTCACCTTGCAGCTCCAGGGAAGAGCAGGAGATGCTGCAGGTTGGGTCCAGCCGCATCTGCAGCTTCCTGGCAACGCTGTTGAAATGTTTAGCTTTTATGAACTATAAATGAACTAAAGAGGGTTCAAAAAGAAAAAAAAAGGTGGAGTATTTTCAGAGAACCATCGCATTAAGTTTCACCAGTCGCTGAAAAATTCTGGAAATATCAGTGCAGGAGAAAGAGGCTTATTACACATTAAATGGATAGATGGATTTTTATTCAACTGCAGAAAAAAAAAAGAATTCAGAATTTCAACAGTAAAAAGAGGTAATTTAAACCCACAAAGAGACTGTGTTAAATTGGTTTATTCCCTTGCTGCTTTTATGAAAAGGATTTCATCATACCATACTTAAAAGATTTAAGGAGTACAACAGGGGAAAGTAGTTTTAAGTTATGAAGTAATATATCCATGAGATCCACGTGTGTTTTCTCCTCATTTTGCTGGATGACATACCTAACCTCTCTGAGGCTCTGCACTAAAATATTTCCTACCTAACTTTTAAGGCATCGACTTTTATCATAAAAGTTGATCCTTATCCCTCAAGTAATACTGGAGCTACAGGTTTTTAAGGGTAAATACGTCTCTAAAGTCTGGCTAAAATGCCTTTAATTCCTATGCCAAATTACTGGGCTACAGAAATGGCTGCAGCAGAGCAATGCGCTGCTGTTATTTACAGCTGGGACTGACCGCCTCTCTGGCCTACAGCAATGCAAATAATCTATAAATTAATACTTGTTTAGCTCTACACTGTTTATGCTTACGTAGCTGCTGTACAAATCATTATATAAATTCTAATTAATATGCAATGAATGGCATTTCTCACCGAGTGAATGACTAGTCTCAAATGTATGCCAAAACAGGGGTACAATTAGAGAAACTTATTTTGTCAAGTGAGGTGTTAAGGCTTCCAAGGCACTGTTTTTAATATGAAGAACAACGGGGTTAAATTAAACAAAATCCTGATACTGCTGCTTTATTAATGATGCCTGGAAAAAGGACAAATCTTGGTATTCCGTGCTGTGAATTAGTAATCCAGTCCCAGTTGTATATCTGCAAATGACAGATTCAGTTCTGGTACTCAGTTCTTACATAAAGCCAAGTTATTCGCGTTCTAAAAATATATATGTGTGTATCTCTCTCTTAGGAAGTATCTTACAAGACAGGGGTTTTTTAATATATTCAACACAGTTTTGCAGATCAAAGTCAGAATTTTTCTGTAGTCCAGACTACTGCCAGGTTTCTGTGTACTCGGCCTGGGAACCGTCCTGATGCTTCACTCATTGTTGCTCAGCTTCAAAGCCCGGGACAAAGACGGGAGGCTCCTCTCTTGGACACAACCATCCGTTTAGGCCGTTTGTAAATCCAGCAGGCAACACTGTGGTGGTTTTGTGCACAGTTGTGTTTATAAGTGGTACTCTCCAGCACAGGAAAAACTTGGGGTATTTTCTAGGCAGGAAGACTCAGACCCCCGGGCTGGGCAGCACCGTCTGTGCCTCCTGGGATGGGGGAAAAGGAGGATTCACTTTGAAAAACACTTCTGCTCTCCTAGTCTTGACCGATGTGATGTGGTAAATTCAAGTTGGTATGGAAGCAACCTGCAGCACCCCTTGGGCTGGCCATCCCAATCTTCTTTCAGAAAGTAAGATTTAGTGTCAGCCTGGTGAAGGCGATTCCTCTCTGGTCCCTCCTCGTGCGCCTGGGTTGCCACAGACTGAATATATTTCCAGTGGAACGGGAAGATTCTGCTGCAAGGAGGAGCCCAAAGCAGTGACACAGTCCTGCTGCTCAGAGACCTTCTGAGAAAACATATCTTCAGGTGTTTCTCAGGTCTCACTATTAAAAGACTATTTAAAAGGGCCACATGCTGGCACCGGACACAACGGTTGGCATAAGGACTGATGTGTTTTACCCAGGCTAGAGGCGAGAATTAAAGCTTTCCCACAGCTCCCAGAGGTCCCATCTGCGCAGGTTACCGGTGGCACTGTGTGACAGTGACAGCGGCATGAATGCAGACAGGAATACTGCTGCTGGCCACATGCTTTTATTTATTTTTAACCATCGTGCCCGTTTCACCTGGGTGACACAGATACAAACTGCTCTTTCAGATAAGCACATGATACAAGCTGCTGGTGGCTGTCTTTTTTTTTTGACTCACATTGCATGGATCAGCTTTTAATAAACCAGATCAATGATTCTCCAACCAACAGAGATGACACACGTTTAACTCGCATTAAAAGCCCCGGAGGATGCATCACGTGCAACAAAAGCCCAGCTTCCACGGTTCTGCAACCACCCTACGAGCACGAGCAAAGAGCACAAAGTGTTTTAAGCTGGTTAAAAATACTAGCCATCTTCTTGTTAACCAAAAAAACACATCACAAAGCGCATTTCCCAAGAACAGGTTGGCTGGCAGCAAGTTAAAGCATTCGCATTTAAATTCTCTGCATTTAAACAATAATCAAAACTAAGTTGCCTGCTGAGTCTCAGAGGTCTCCGAATAGTCTAACACACCAGCTCAGTGTTTGCTTGGTAGGAAGAAAAACAGTATTTTTACTTAAGATCAGGGATTTCTGCTGAATAGCGATAAGCTACCTATTTACTTTGAAGCCTCTATGTCAGACTAAGCTCTTTAGTACAGAGAAAAAACCCCACCTGAATAGTGACTGCTAATCTGAGATATGTTAAACTTAGTATTTAAAGAAAAGATACACCACACAATTTAACAAAATCAAGCAACAAGACCAGAACTTCAATATATACCCAGACCTAAAAGTTATACTCAATTACACACAAACCTCAGACAGAATTTTTTTCCCCCATTTCCTGTTTTTGACACACAGCAAAACACTATTTAGGCTAGTCATTACAATGTTATATAATAGAAAAAACAAAGAACTCAGGAATTGTTTTCAATAACTGTGGAAAATTCTTTTTGATAACTGTAATGACATCAAAATTTCAGATCCTTTGCCAAAGCTTACTTATGTCTTAAAATGTGATATTTATGAATCATCTAACTTCCCGACAGCTCCACGTTTCCCCGATGTTTTACC